ATTTTGACTTCATATTTAAAAAACCCTTCTCGTGGTTTTATTGGCACTATCTAACTTTTGATCTCTCCCCTTTGAAACAGCAGTTGTGAATAAAAGAATAAAACTTATGTTAAACATTTAACTTGTATAGTTTAATTAATATGCAATATGTATGTCGTAAATTCTGAAAAGCAAAAGTGGTGAATGATCATGCAATCTGTTGATCATTTCTTCCCATTTCTCTCAGTCCTCATACATACTGAAGTCATGTTAGTTTTTTGTATTTAAGGAGCAGGAATAAGCCCACTGACAGACTCTTCAACTTCCCTTTTTTCATTCTGCTTTTCTCAGCCGCCCTTTACTTCCTGAATGGATAGAGACTTCTCCCATCTTACCTTAACATCATAAATTTTGAAAGACAATCAGTATTCTTTAAATGAGCCAGCGGAGCAGATTCAGCAGCGTGAATAATATGAATGAGGCAGAGGAGACTTTTGTCTTGTTGGAACTTAAAACAATTTAGAAGGTCAACCTAAGAATTACACTTTCAGATGTCTTCAGGAAAGTTACAAAATAGTTATTTGGGAAATAACTGAATTGTATTCAGCACACAGTAGTAGTACAAATTAAAACTGCCCTTCATTGAAGGCTGCAGCAGAAGATACCTTACTTTGTTTATTTTAGATGTCTGTGATATCTGCTATCAGAGCACCGACACTCATCAAGTGAAGTTAATGAGGCCTCAAAATTAAGAGCTAGTACTTTGCAGAGTGTCAGGACAGTGCAGAGAATGAAGGATGGGAATAAATGGCTCAGAATTGCTCAAACCAGTGAACAAATATGATGGTGCATTCTGAACAAACTGCAAGTGCTGTCCTGTTGTGAATTCCACAGAAAGGAAATTACAATGATTGAGTCTTACGATCACAAGCATAAAGTTTTGCTATAGTAAGGTGATCATGAGAAAAATAGCAGAATAGCCTGTGCCATTTGTGTTACCGGAAGAAAATATATGATAGTCAAAAACTGTGTTATTAGTGGTAAAAAACACCAAAATTCAAAGTTGCAAACAATATCTTCAAAATGAGGAAGCAGAAAGGAAAAAGAAGTAATTTACACAAAGAAAAAAAAATCTGATCTTACCAAGTAGTGGTGATCTACTTAGTCTGTCCTAGATGAGTGTAGCAATTGGAGATTAAAGAAAAGACATAAATTTGTGTTTCATTTATCAAGAAGTAATTTATTGGCAGCTGCTTCTCATAATCAAGTTTTATTACTCTTTTTTACTTGATTTTTAGATAAAATAAGAAAAAAAAACAGCTATAAGCCTATTAAAAATTTCATTCTTTGATTCATGTAGTATTGGTAGTTCAGACAAAAAGCATGCAGCTTATAGTCTTTATGAATGATGATACCTTTGTGATACCAGATGCAAGCAAAGGGTAAGGAAGGGTGTTATCTTTTTTAAGTCTTTAGCTGAAATACACTGAAGCTTGATTAAATCATATTTTTTTTTCTGCTACATATGCGTCACCTCATTAAAATTAAGCAGGACATTTTTCTGTGTCTGTGACATTTTTAATGTGTCTTAATCAAGAACTGAATGAAATTAAAGACATTTAAAGGAGAAATATAGGTGGCAGCAAGCTAAACTAAGAATTTATTTAATATATACTGTTTTAGATGCACACACACATGTAAGCAAAGGTCATAAATCTACAGCCCTCTTGAGCAATAAGGGAGGGGAAAGAAAATCAATTCTAATCAGGAGACCAGTGCCAGAGCTCATAATAACAACTTCTCCGTACACCTGAGGCACTTAGTAACACTTAATATACATTTTAAGCAAAACCTTTTAGTCTGTAATAGAACAAGATGGGACTAGTATAACTTTTTATAGTTTCACTTGCCTTATTTAGTAGTTGTGGGTTTTGTTGTGTCTGCAACCGTTAAAATCCAGATTTAATAGAATAACCTCGCAATTCATTGGCACAAGAGCTAAGGAGGTTTATTTGCAAATATGCTGCTATTGAAGGATATGCTGTGTGAGCAGTCTTCCAAGCCATCACTGAGATATGTGATTTATGTTTTTATTTTATTTAATCAAGTGTAACTTTATAAAATTGGGTTACTTCATTGTTCTTGAACTAACTTGCCTTGTATCTTTGTAATTTAAAATGCCCACAAATTTATGGAAAGAAAATTAATTCAATTTCTGTGCAGTTAATGGAATCATCAAGGATAGTTAGTGATTTGATTTGATTGGCATTTGTTTTTTCCTATGTCAGAAGTGGGCTGTGAGTTTTTCATTAAAAAAAGCTCATCATCTTCTGTGTTGGAAAAAATTTATTTAATGTATCTCAACTGGTTAGTGTGCAACCTGGAAGTCTAGCACTTCATAGATTCAATAAATGAACAGACAAAACCTGTGAATATTAAATATTTCAAAGATGTTTTAGAATGTGTGGTAGATTTTAGAAAGTGGATATTCCTTTCTAAACACAACTATATGGATACATTTAGGTGTACCTAAATTTTTACATATTTTTAAACAGTTGATTAATATTAAGCTTGGAAGTACTTGAATTATAGTCAGACTAGCATTGCCATATCTTAACGTGTTTTCTGTCACAAACTTTTCCCCTTTGTCCTCCTTTTTCCTATATTCACAAGTTCCTTTCTCTAAATTGGTGACATTGTGGTTCCTAAAACTGCAAACAAATACAGTTTCCTTCCATATATAGTACAAAATTTTACTCTTCTTAGTTTCCCATCAGTAAATTGCCCTGTCTTTCAGTCACATTAGACAACATAAGCAATCAGGTTACAAAGGTATGTAAATTTGAAATTGTGGAGATTTGAGAACAAGATTTAGTTTTTTCAGCTACAGATTATAATATTTAAAGTGCAATTTTTTATATTGAATAATTGTGCTTTTTGAAAAGTACTTATTTTAATACCTGTAGTATAGTCGTGTGACACCAATACAACAAGCTCTACTAAAAAAGTGAAATTTCTGACAGTTGTCTTATCACATAGGAAGATTTGCTTTATTTAAGGCAAATGCTAATTACATTGTTAAATGCTTGCACCACGTTCTGAATGTAATCAAGATCAATCCAAATTCCTGTGTCACAATTCTCAGATTCGCAGCTGAAGTGAATTTTCCACATGCCTGTCTTCTGTGAGATTTGTTTTTGATATACTATAAATGCAAACCTTGGTGCATTGGTATTCTTTATGAAGTATTTGTTTCCATTCACTAGCTCATAAAGAATAAGCTTCATGAACTGCACTGCCACTTTCTCAATTTTTTATTAATTCATTTTTAAGCACTACAGCAGTTAATTAAATTTGGCAAAAAATCATGTGTAGTTAAAAGCTGAGTTTGATTTCCTTTAAATGAATAGTAAATAATTACTGCTAAAGCAGGAAAGATCAGATATTGAGAAGCTGGATAATTGTGAAGCTGAGAAATATGTTTTTCCTACAATATTTTTCTTTTCCTGTCCTCCTTTATAATTGCATTCCCATCTCCCTATTTATTTCTGTGTTTGCAGAGATTTATTGTTCATGTTTGGCAGTATGCCAGTACTGTGAACCATATTTTGCTTTGCTTTACCCACTCTGTATCCCTTAAGTCAACTTTTAGTGACTGTGTGTCAGGTACTAGTAAATGTGAAGATTTAAAAAAAAAAAAATCATCATAATTTGATCTAGAATTAATTCACTATAATATACAGGGCTGAAAATACAGTGATAGTCAAAAAATACTTAACTGTTGTGGTCTATGAAAAAGTAGAGATTCTCTGCTGGCAATGATAATAAAGAAATCTGTTTTAGGGAAAGATTAGAGTCATCATTACCACAACCCTCCTGGTGTCATATTCAGCAGCGATTGATTTGGGAAGGCAGTTAGGAATGTGGAAGAGATGGGAGGAAAATCAGAGGTGTTGGTGGCAAATCAGGGACATTGAAACATGAAGATCTAAGGAACCAGTAGCCAGGGGCGAGGGTAAAGAGCTTGTATACGGCATGCTTTCTGACCTTATATTAAAGCTCATATAAGCTTGGTTGAAGGTCCTTTATTCCAGTTTACAACAGGGTTACCGTGCCTTTCCTCCTGTCATCTTAATTGTAATAAAAGAGCTGCACTTTTTGTGATACTTGAGCTTTAGCCCAAAGCCATGTTTCTGAACAGAAAGACAACTGTTCCCGTTGGGCTAAAATGGCATGAACTCTGGTGGTTTGGTTTTCCTTTTTAAGTGGTTGGTTTTTCTTCCCTGTTGCTTCTGGAAGACACACTCCAAAGCAATTTGAGTTTCAGAACTTAGTGTTTGGAAGGGAAGTGTATTAGTTTTTCTTAACTTTGAGTCAATATTTGGTTTAGGTGAAGCATGATAAAGTTAGTACCCAGAAACAAGGGAGACATGCTTATGGACCTTGTACACAGTGGGAGGCTGGAGGACCTGAGGTTTTGCACGCTGAGATCCCAGCCTCCTACACATGGGGAAGGTAAAAATGAGGAGTAGATGAACAGTTTGGTTCCATACTATGAATTTATTAATCCATGCTGTGCTAGGCTGATGCAATGGCTGGTGGTGAGGAAGGGTATCCCCTCCTTAATGATAAGTATAGTGTGTGGCCTGCTGCCTTAAGCCTGTCCTAGCTGCCTGCATAGTCTGAAAGAGTGGCTTTTAAGGAAAGTGAGTTCTCAGTTTCAGTGTTCATACTGGTTATCAGTAAATTTGGATCTCTGTTTAAGTGAAGCTATATTTTTATAAAAGTATTCTTTTAAACAGTTAAGTGTATTCTTTGGAAAGTAAGAATAGAAGTCAAATTCATTTGTAGAAAATCATGACATATTGGTGTTGATGAAAAGTTTAACATTAATAGAAATAGTTCCTCTCGTATGACTCATAATAATTTTCAATGGGGGTTTTTCCTGTATTTTTTTTTAATACAATGCTGCTTATACTGTAATTAGAAGTGAATTTAATTTTTATGCTTGTCCATTCTAGGTACAGAGATCCAGAAATAAGCAGTTACGTGAGCTGTTTCCAGATGGATTTAGTATTCATCATGCAGGAATGCTGCGGCAAGACAGAAGCTTGGTTGAGAACTTGTTTTCTAACGGACATATCAAAGTCCTAGTTTGTACAGCTACGCTTGCCTGGGGTGTCAATCTTCCTGCTCATGCTGTTGTTATTAAGGTAAGAGCTTCCACTACTCTGCACATGGGTATCTGTCTTAAAAGAAACCTGTAAAGAAGCTTAGATAGCAAGATCTTTATTGTGGGTTTTGGGCCTGGAGGGGAAATGTCTGATTGACTTGAAATGTTATTTATATCTCATTAAACTGATTCCCTCCAGTGGGAGTCTAGTTTGTATAGTAAAGATTTAAATATATCAAAGATTATGAAAGGATTAGTTAAAGTACACTTCTCAAATCATGCTATATTTGCCTAATTTCAGTATTCAGCTCATCAGGATTATATTCATGTGTATTTATGTTAATTTTTATTAACTTTTCCTCAACCAGGGAACACAAATATATGCTGCAAAAAGAGGCTCCTTTGTTGACCTTGGAATTTTAGATGTCATGCAGATATTTGGTCGAGCTGGACGGCCTCAGTTTGACAAATTCGGAGAAGGTGTCATTATTACAACTCATGATAAACTCAGTCATTACCTGACTCTTCTTACTCAGCAGAATCCAATTGAAAGCCAGTTTCTTGAAAGCCTTGCAGACAACCTAAATGCAGAGGTAACCTTTGAATCATTTAGAGAAACTAGCAAACTTTAAAGGATTAATATTATTTAAAACAAAAATGCAATATTGTCACACTTAAAATATCTAAAATGGAAATTTTGTTTATTACTGGTAGTCTGTAGGTGTGTATGTTTAAGAGGAGTGAACTGTTACACATGTGAAAATGTTGGGGGCCTTTTACAAAAGGTAGTAGGTATTAGAAGTAGTACGGAGGGTCAAAATACCATTAAGATAAAACTGCAGAAACACGTAGCATTTACTTTTAATCAGAAGTGCTTTATTAGAATTTAGTAAGTGTTCTGCATAACTGCAAATTAAAATCCGCAAAAAATTAAAGCATGTCTGTCTCTCTATAAACAAACTTACTTTCATGGTTAACTGCAATATAGGAAGAATAATGTACTTGGCTTGAACTCTTCTCTTTGTTTTACAGTGGTAATCAGAACTGGCTCATTATAAATAGCAAGTTCCCAGTTTGCTTCAGTAAAAATCTTAAAGTGCATTTTCTTTGAAAATGCTGTGGTTGTATTGAGAGTGCTGACCTCTGTCATACCTCTGTCATATTAAAATACATAGATTGAAAAGCTATCTATTGTAATAACCAATTAAAAATATGTATATACACACACAGACACTTTTTACAAGGAACTCTCAGAAATTTAAACATGCTTAAATGAAGAAGAGAATACTGTTTTTCAAAGCTACTGGACATTTTTTTCAATAAAAGTAAAGGAGTTCAGCTAAACTGAAATATCCAGTGCCATCTTAAAACTGATTATCCCTTTGAAAGATGTGAAGTTTATTTGGTCTATTGGGAATAGTCTTGGGTTTTTAAGATGCTTGTTCTGTTTTATCTATGTAATTCTTACATATTTCTGTTTATTTTTTACCTTTTTATCACTTTAAAGTCTTTGCATTATTCAATCATAAATAATAATTTTAAAAGGAAATTCTGGAAAGGAGCAGAAATTGATACAGTGACCTTTTAAAATGTTAAGATTCATTCCTTGATTCTTTAGAAATGACCAAGTTTGATCATTCATGATTTTGGTTGATTTTTTTTTTCTTTTAAGGGGTCTCATAAGTTATTTCTTCAGTTCCTGTTAACAGGAAAAATCTCTGCCCAAGTACAGTCACACATCAGAAGCAGAATAAGGTTTAGCAGAATAAGGTTTAACTATATTCCAAGTATTTCCACACACAAATGTCGGGGAATGAAAATATTGACACCTGTCTGCGCTCCCAGCTACTCCTCTTTACCTCAAGGCTCTGGAGTGGTCTGAGTACAAGGCAGGAGAGAGAAATTTAACTCCCCCAGAACATGAGTCACAAATGTGATGAAAAGGAGCCATTTGCAATTTTCCAATCCCTCTTTCTACCACAAAGGAGAGAGGAAAAATAAACGGGAAGCATGCTTGCAGTGGGCAGGTGTCATGCTCCCAACCATTTCCTTTTGACGACACTTTTGTACTCCTGGAGATAGACACCTGTGAATGTTCTCTAAGTGGAACTGGAGGGATATTCAGTTATTTAAAATTGGATAGTAGCAACTTACACATTAGCAGTAATAATTTAAACCCTGAAGTTGGTTGTGAAGGCGGGAATTACCTGTAGTTATTGTGGAGCACCCCAAGACGTTAGGAGGGATAGATCTGGTCCTGGGATACTGTGTGCCTTTTCACTAGGAAAGAATCCAGCCAGATTTCGTAGAAAAGCTTTGTTCTTTTTCTTGAGATACATGAAGTAGACAAGGAAAAAGAGTTGGGTATTCTTTCCTTCACAGCAAAGGATTTATTTTTCTACTTTTTTTATTTTAATATTAGAAATTTAGTCCTCCCATCTCACAGAAGGCCTTCAGGTCAGTGAAGAACTACAAAGACACTGGAAGAATAAGCACCTGTTGTGAACTAGGTCAGAGAAGATCTCTATGATTGACTTACTGTGAAAAACAAATGGCATGGCTATACGCTACTGTTTTTTCAGGCTTTGTCTGTATTCCTCCAAACTGTCCAGAAGGTGTGTGGATGTGCTGGTGTGCCCACCTGAATTATACCAGGAATCTCAAGTATTCCTTCCACAGAGCTCCAGCAGAAAAGCTAGCTGTTGTGGGGAAAATGCTTTACTGACATACCCTAAAAAATCTTGTTGGTTAGTTTAGCAAAAGAAAGTTTCAAAGGAGATACAACAGCTCTCTATAACTAGCCGGAACTAGAAGTGAATAGGAGAAAGAAAAGAGAAGTTTGGCCAATGCCAGTACAAGAATTAATCACCCTGTTCATAAGTAAGCTTGCCCGGAATATAACATCTGGAACAGTCTGTCTTTTAGCAGTAGTGAAGATAAAAGTCATCCAATTTTTTTATATGGTGAAGATTTTGTAGTAAGTGTATGTATTTGTATGGAAGATGTGATTGCATATGAGGAAAAGATTTGACTTGATGAACCAGGAGTTCCAGTACTATTTCTTCCCTGTCATCTGAGAATGTAGTTAAGAAAGCATGAGATGTAAGCTATTCATTTTCAATGTGTAATATTTTGTAGAGAGAGAGAGGTTTTAATGGGCAGCATGTTGTTCCTCTGATCTAAGCTGTAGTTCCAAAATATCACAAATTTTCCAGCAAGTTACATTCATTTATCTTTTTATGCAGAGGAAAAAATTTTTTAAAAATCTAAATGTAATTCTATTTTCAGTATCAAAGAAAAGACATATTTGGTTATAGTTACACTTCAGGATTCTTCTCCCCTTCCTCCTTTTCCATTGTACAGATTGCAAATTCTTAGTTTTAAGTCCTAGGTGTTTATCTCACAGGAAGTACTTAGAATGGCTTAACAAAATATTTATAATGTAGCAAGTGACTGCTTGTATGTTTCTGTATGTTACTGTACTAGATAGTAAATTAAGGTGCCAAACTGCTGCTAGCATTGACTTTGGTGCACTTAGCACCAAAAAACACATTGAAGGTGGAACAGACCTGGTTGATTGTTAGAACACAAAACAATTTTAATTTGTCCCAGGCTTGTGATTTTCACAGCAGATTTTAAAGGTAGTGGTATCTTCTCTTTCTCTTTTTTTTTTTTCTTTCTTTTCACTGCATTTAACAGTAAGCACTCTACTAGCTTAAAAGCTGTTAAAGAAAAAAAAAATCACTGAAGACTTGGGAAGGTAAATAACATTCTGTAGCACCAGCTGAGTATGTCAAATGGATATTTAAGAGGAAAAAAAAGCATCAAAAAGCAAGACATTCAAGGGAGAAAGGGCTCTGTGAGCTTAGAATAGTAATGTCTACAGTGATTATGAAACACTAAAAATTGTACAAAATAAAAACAGTGAGTTGCGGCAATTTTAGATAAGACTGACAACAATAAAAGCAATCTTACTTGTGAAGCTTTATTTAGATTTTTACCTAAAAAGAGAAGGATTTGTTCGTCCAGGGAAGTATGTATTTCTGCTAAGTAGTTTCTTTTCAAATGTGTACACATTACTGAAATTCTTTCCAGAAGTAGAGGAAATCTCAATAGAAATTTAATGACTTTTAACAGTAATTGAGTATCCAAGTAGTACTTTGAAAAATATTGCTCGTAGACACTGCAAAAATAATTTGGTTACACTGAAGGTGTAAAATTAAGAAGTTAATTCTCCTGCCCTGTTAAAATAGTAGAACTAAAGAAAAAAATAATGGAATAGAACAATAATTCTGTTTCATAGGAGGTAGTAATCTTATCCAATCAAAGATATATAGGAAGTATGTGATGTACAGTATAATAAAAACTACTTCTAAGTGCAGCACTTCTACCGCAGGATTTGGGGTTTGGGGAAAAGTGCAGGAAACTGATGAACTAGTTTAGACAGAACTATTTCTTTTCAGATTTTATGTAATGGTAGTGTTATCTGAAAAGAACAGTGTACTCATGGCTTTAAATTACTGTAGATTCTGTGGCTGCAGTACAGTTACAGCAGCTGAAGATGCAGTCAGAATTTTGTTAATCACTATGATAAATGGTTGTTAGTAGAAATAGCAATGGCAAATGCTGAAAAGCAATAGAGTAACAAGGGCATGAAACCACCTTTTTTTTTGTCATCTGATATGTGTGATGTTACTTATCCTTCTGTCATGACGTACAAGAAAAATTAGCGCCTGCCAGATTACAGGAAATCAATACTATAAGCAGATACAAGGAGCTATTGTGTTAGGTTTTTTTGGAAAGTAACTTCATTTCTTTATAATTGGAGTCAGTCTAAACTTCTGTATATGCTGATTTGATCTAAATTAGTGGAATCCTCTGAGAAGGATACAGGTGTGTTAGAAATTGTTATGTTTACCTGGAGATGACTGTCCCATAGGCTGCAGCATTCTGAAAAAAATAAATACATTTTAAAACATATGCCATCGTATCGATCAGTAGATGGTCTTAGGAAGTTGGTCATCTTTTATAGATACTGTCCCTTTGGCAATAACAGTAGCACTATATGGAGACAAAAATACATGTTTATTGACTGATCTGTTATAGAAATCTAGACAGTATGCTGATGACCACTGTCATCTTTGCCGTAACAGAGCCTGTTGTTAGCACCAGCAAATCTGCACTGATATATAATAAAATTACATATTTTAGGAGCAGAGTCTGCTTTTATTACAAGTCATTCAGGAAATCCAAATGCTTATGCTGTAGTTGTAAAGAGAAATCAATTAAAGGCCAGAAGCACTGCTGGATTGTTTAAATTCTTAATTTATTATAGACAGATGAGTAGCTGAAAGAAGAACTAGTAGAATGAAGGCAGCAGTTGGAAATATGGGAAGGCTCCATGTTTCCACAAGAATATGAAGTTGCTTTTACCTAGACCAGGTCTCTTGGCAGAAATAGGTAGGTGTTAAGAATGAGGCAATGATTCAGATATTTGGGGTAATACAATATGTAATCCTAGCCGCACAATCGCTAAGTAGAATCCAGAGCCTTGAATTTTGTATCTAGGCTTATGTGGTGCAGGAGAGAAAATTTGGGTAATGATGGAAAAAAAAATGAGGGTATTTTTAATTCTCAAATGAATTTTCTAGAAGCAGAAAATTTTCAGAGAGGATGGGCAAAGGAATAGATCAGCTTCTAGGAAAGGAACACACCAGTTTGCCTGCACGGTTCAGGCGAGAACAAAGACAAATGGGAGATTATATGACAGAGTTTTATGAAGTAATGAGTGACGTGGCAAAAAATTGCACCTCTCCTGGGACAAGAAGCAAGAATTATTGGCTGAGATGAGTCAGTGGCAGGTTCAGAAAACACAAAAGGATGCCAGCTGGGTGGTTAGACATGGAACTCTTTGCTGCAGGGAGTTGTATCTAAAAGGTAGAGTAGTTCAAAAACTATACAAAAATGGAATAAAAATCCATTGAAAGATATCAAATGCAAAGGCAAAACCTTTAACTAAAGACCTTGAGGTGCAATAGTTTAAGAATTTGGGAGAAATTTATATGGTGCTTGTTTCTCATTGCCACTTTCTGCCCTTCAGCATTTGCCATTATTTAATCTCAGAGATCGCATCCTGGCCTTGATGTCCCAGTGCATTTGTTCTTAGGAAAGCTACAGACTGGGAAAAGCTGAAATATACCCAACTTCATTGAGTCGACACCAAAATTAAGACTTGGAACATGTATTTCAGCACCTCAATCCACTGAGAATTCTCTCCTGAAGATTTGTTTTGAGTTTGGGTTTGGGGGTTTTTTCTTCTAAAAATGAGCAGAAGAAGAGTAAATGGTCAGCGATGCTCAACATAGGCATGGAGATGCCCTTTTTCTTTTCTGCTGAAGTTGTGCCACTGGGCATAATGGAATGTAAAAAGGAATAAAATAAATAGCTGGTTAGGGTGCTTAGTCAAGAGGAGCGAGTCCTGGGTCAGTTGACCAGCTGGCAAACAGAAAATACCTACAGCTGTATTTTCTGGAAATACAGGAAGAAAGATAAGATGCAGGGGATGTGGTTTAATTAGACCATAAACTTTAACTTATCTGGGAACTATCATCAATAGCTCATACAATGCAGGTCACCATTCCTTCCCTAATTGTTTCCACCTGATAGAGCCCTCCCTGACATCCACAGCTGGACCCCAGCTTGTTGCAGGGACGACTCCTTTGCTAGAAACTGAGGAGAGGATTTGCAGTACCGGACAGTAGCTATACCTTCCCCGGGGGTATGCCTTTCCTCGCATTTACTTACAATTTTGTTGTGAAGCCAGAAACATGAGGTGGTGACTTGTTTAGTTTGGACAAACCTCCTAATCTGTTTTTTGCCTTGAAAGAGTGGGCAACTATTGTGGTTCTCAGAAGAGACACAGAATTTCTTCAAAGCCCTTCCAAAAAAATCACTCAGGAGCTGGGTGACTGGGTGGCTAATCTGGGTATTTGAGGCAAAGTGCAGGCTGGGCGGAATTGAAGTTTTGCTCCCTCGGTGTCCAGGGCCCTGACCTGACCTGAATGAGACCAGCAACCTCATCCATTCTCCCCCCACCTTCTTCCGTTGGAGTTAACAGATAATGACAACTCTTGTGTAGTTTGGTTGTGCTTATAAATAGTCCTTTGGTCACGTGTGGTTGGAGGAGATTCTGTGCCACTTGGGAAAATTCTAGTAGCATTAAGAAATTATTTCAAAAGCCATAGAGTAATAAGACCATAATCACTTCAGACGCTGAAATGGTAACTCAAAATACACTGGTTTCCAAAGCAAACAGAAAATTGCTTATTAGGTTGTTAGAAAGATTCCTTGCTCTCTTGCCTTAACAACAAATATTTGATTCATATATAGAAATTTTTCATCAATGTAATCTGGCTCAATTATATCACTATAATAGTAATTAAACATTCTTATGTAAAAAATACAGTATGTTCTATAATATATGATAATATATACTGTATATAATATTTATTATATATTAGTAATATTTTGATGCCCTTTTCTAATCTGTATAGAAATATCAGAGAAAAAAACTTCATTTTTCAAAAACTACCCCCAAAAAGCCGTGCTACTTGTATCTGTTTACACTTTTCTGAAAATCAAAAACACCTCCTCTGAAATACTGTTCAACCTGGAAATACTGCTCAACCTGATAAACTCTGTGGGATAGCATTTGTAAAAAAAAAATCATTTAATGAAAATGCAGACTACTAAGCACATCACTCGGTGATGGTGACATCAGCCATTGAACAATTAGTTGAAAATTCGTGATGCTGATGATTTTTTTTTATTTAAAATGACACAGTGAGTTGGATTAATACAGTACTCGAGTTTCCATTTTGTGAACGCAACATGATTATTTGTATTTGTACAGTTGAAAAAAAATATTTTGTGATGACTGGTGCAATCAAACAATACAATGTCAACACAGTAAATATTTCTACTCATTTATTATTCTATCTGTAACAAAATATCTAATACATGGTTGAGGAAATGCTGGAAAATTTAGAACTTTTTTTCTTTTTCTTTTATTTTAATAAAGTATCACCTTGTCTATTTATTGACTTCATAAATACTACATATCCTAGGTCTTAACAGAGGTCCTCTCCTAACTTTGTAAATAGTTTATTTCATAATGACTCTTAAGTGTTTGTATTAATAAGGTAACTTCCATCATTCATACTCTTTTAACAAAGGTATACGTTTTCAAATAATCTATCAGAACTTCACTTGAACACTAGATGGCAGCAGATATCTAGAAGTTGCCTTTTTTTTTTTTGGCTGTGCATATTATTCAGTGAATATTCATTAAAGTTGGTGGAAGAAGGAAAGTGCAGTATTAGATTTCAGTACCATATCTGAAACCCAACTGTATTTCATAATCACTTTTTTCCCCCTCAGTTTTAACTTATGAAAATAATTAATTATTAAGTAATAGAATCAGATATTTGAACAAATGAGGCAAAAAAATGTGTTTTGGTTTGGTTTTTTTCTTTTAATTGTCAGACTTCACTGTCATCGGTAATGAGAATTTTATGTTTTCACGATTGTGAAAGTGGTTGGTTGGGGGGGAAATGTTACTATTGGACTATGTTGTTATGCTATTTCAAGTTGTGGACTGAAAGATATTTGAATCGTGGGAAGAAACCAAATGCTGAAATTAGCCTGGGTAGCAAATTAAGTAATAATAACCTGTGGGCTGTATTAGATGTGTTCCCTGTAGTAGTCTATGAAGAACTGAATGTTTTTGTACCTACTTCAGTGCATTGTGTAGCTACTTACTTTGAAAAACAACACAATGGGGCTTCCCGCGACCTCCCTATGCTGTTGAAGAACAAAATATCACTTGAAAAATGTGCGAGACAAAGGTTGGGGTTACTCCATGCTATTAGTCACCAATATCAACAAGGTTTTGCCAGATTTAAGTTATTTTAACTCAGGGCAGATTTCGCTTGCATTATTATTTTTGACTACATATTTATGTTATTTCAAAAAGAATATATTATTATTAAGGTCTAGATGCTTAGATCTGAACATACATATGAAATGACTTACAGTTGATTAGGGTATTTTAATTTTTGCCAAGTCATGTGGAATGTTTATATGAAATCCAAACGCCAATAAAACAAAAATAACTTAAAAAATGTAGTAATGGATCACAAAAATTTGGTAAGAGGGACTGACTTGTTTTAAACAACCAGCAACAACCACAATATTTATTTATGGGACACGCAGGAAATATTAAATTCTCCTGGTAAAATCAGGTTAACTGGAATAAGCAATAAAATGCTTCTCATGAATGTAACCAATACAAAATAGAGCTTAAGCTATCCAGTAAAAATGTATGTGTGGTAAAAAAATTTGGTGATAAAACTATTGAATTGGCAAAAAAAGTCACCTAGTAAAAAAACTGTTTTGGTATTCCTGATTTGGCCTTGAAAAATAAGTAAATATACATATATATATGTGCAAATTAACCATTCAATTTTGTTATGTTTTGATATAACAAAAATGTAGCAGGTACCTGTATGTTTGACTTGCCAGATACAAAAGGAGAAAACTATTTGTAAAAACTGTATAAACAGATTGTCAAGTATGAGGGCATGCTGAAGAGAATCCTAAAGATTGTTGGTATCATTTGGTTTAGGACTTGAACCAGAAAGTGCTTTTACATTGGTATGAAAAATTAATCTTTTAAATGTAGATTTTTTTTTTTATAAAGGTACTCTTCTTTAAATTACCCTGAGTTTCCTCGCTAAAGGATTATGCTGTTTTGTTTGTCTTTTTTTATAGCAAGCTTGCTCAGTATCATCTTTTAATTGTAAAAATCATAGGTGGTGTAGGAAACATCATGTCGGTCACTGTATCTATAGTATTATGTCACAGAACCTACCATGTTATTAGATATTCATAAGATGAAGATGTGTAAATGGTTCAAGTTATTGTCCTATGATTATTTTAAAATAATTTAAGTTGGAAACATACTGACACTTTCTTTAATCTAGTGCTAACACTCTGAATTCTGTATGTTTTCAGCCAAATACTTATGTTCAGCTGTAACATGTACATTTAATTTTGTCTCTTTTCCCATTTCCAGATTGCTCTTGGAACAGTAACTAATGTGGAAGAAGCAGTAAAGTGGATAAGTTACACTTATCTTTATGTACGGATGAGAGCAAATCCATTAGTATACGGCATCAGTCACAAAGCTTATCAGGTATAAAATGCATTTTAAAAAAAATCTGTAACCTGTTCTGGGTCTCTAATCCTTCCCTGATGTGAGGATAAATATTTGCTATTTCTACTTACCTGACATCAGCAATTCTTTTAAAGTGCTTAGAAAAAGGTATTTTCTGTAGCAGAGTATTTTTAACACTAAATTAAGAGGCCCCTTCTGTTCACATAAAAATACATTTTAACTGGCCAAGTTATGCTCCAAAGGACAACTTACTTTCTTATCAGACGGTTACTGTAACTTAGCTTATTGTCAGCGTTTCAGTACTGTAGGCTAGATACAAATGATAAAATAAAGCATTCTTGAGTTGCTTGCTTTCCCCCGTCCCCTTCAGCTTTTGTTTTAGAATGTTTCATCCCATGACATCTTATAAATTATAAAATGACATTTTTAATTGGTTTATTATTTTCTTTCTTGTGATTTAGTGATTATAAGATTTTTTATTAATTTATTTTGAATTTTCTTTTGTTTATTTAGAAGTGTTTCATGCAGTGATATAAATCAGAGCACAGTTACAGAAGTTTTTTTCAAGTTTTTTTCATTATCTGTAAGTTTTAGGAATTTTAAGAGTTTACCGATTATCTAAATATTGTTACTTTTTTCTGTACAGCTGTTTATAAGCAATTAATGTTAACATATTTTGGACACGGGTAATTGAGCCTAATGCAGGTGAAACTCTCAGAAGTGTATGGTAACTGCAGTTTATTTCACGTGTCCTGAATCTGTTTTGTGACGTCATAATTTGTCATGATGTTGTCAGCAGCAGTTGTTTTGGTCATTGTAACAAGTAGAGATATATCTCAGGAGGTATTTTTTGGATAGCTTTTGTGTCTGATAGTGGAAGCTGTAGTGGCAGTAGGTAGGCTATTGTTTAAGCAAGCTTCTGCAGACACCTTTAGATCTCTAGTCATCTCAACTCTGTTTTCTATAAAAAGCCTTACACTACATTACCATATGTTAACATAACACTACATAACACAAATCACAAAGTAATAGAAAAATGAAAAGCAAAAATTGCTTTGCTAGTGAGAAGAATGTTGTTGTCCCATTCCTATAAATTCCTTCTTTTTTTTTTTCATCAAGTATTTTCGACCAGTGTTATTAACAAATTTTAGATTAAAAGAAATGCAACCATGGTGGTAATAATTGGTGAAAAAAAAGTAATAAAACACTAACAGAAATGTTTTTTATAAATTTAAAAAATAATGAACAAGAGTTGCTCCCTCTCCCCTTGCTTTTGTATTTTTATTCAGCTGCTGAGAAAATGGAGATTGCCAGCACTTGTCTTTTCCTGCCACTAACCTCCTTTCTGCCCCTTCTGATTTGATGTGCTGATAATCGACATTCCTATTTTTGTGTTAAGGCAGTAACAAATTGTATCAATTTGAAGTGTTATGCATTCACGTAGGAGCAAACCCAATGCCAATCCCCATATTTTCTAGATAAACCAGTTTTAAACTTCAAAGCTAATGTGTTATAGACAGTATACGGATGGTATAGTGCCAGATGTGGGCATAACCGCAGATTTGCTCACTTAGGCCGTTCTATTCCTTCTGTTCTGGTTATAGGTATCCAATTTTCATAATTGGTATCTTACTGTTTCTTAGTAATGTTGCAGCGTGCCAATTTCTATCTTTGTTTTGGCTGACAGCCAATCTTACCCATTCAGAATCCATATATCTGCATAACCATCGTGGGTCACGCTCTTCCCAGCTGTTCGGCGGGGCTGAGAAGATGCAAGTTCATTCTCCTTGCCCTTTCCGCAGGCGCTCACCTCATCCAGTAATTACTTTAGGGCACAAAAGGTCCAGACTGTCCACACAAAATGGGTGTGTTTTACTGCACAGGGAGACCAGGGTGAGCATGCACCTGCCATGCACCGACACATTCTCCACCCCACGTGTTGCCGCTGGGATATTACTGTTCTCCACCTAGCCCGTTTCTGGGCTATGCCCAGGAGTAGGCTACTCCAGGCCCACTGCTTTGGTTTGTGACTTTTCAAGTTGTTTGCCAGAAGTGCCAATAATGCCTTTTACTGAGTTGGGAAAATGGCAAAAATTTATGATGAGCAGCAAGAAGAAATAAAGAGTGGAAGGAAGAAGGGGAGCAAATGTGAGTGTCATATCAGTGAAGCCTGTGGTATGAATTACAGGCATTTTCTCATCCTTTTAGGGTTCCAAATCAAAGGTGGCTGGTTTTTTTTAAGGTAACCCCTTTGCCTGTTTTCTCCTCTTTTTGGTTCCACTCTTTGGTGTTCCCACAGTTAAGCAAAGCTTTTTATCCCCGTAAGCTGTATGTTTATGTTTAGAACATCTGTAAAAGTTAGAGGAGCTTGTCCCCAACGCTTCTCTCAGTGAGCTAGAGAAAACAATGTGAATAATAATGTACTTTATCATGCATTCTTAAATTTCCATATGTATACTCCAGACCTGCTCAGTTTCTTGCTGTGGGCATGCCAAGGCTTGTTTTTAAGAGTATGTCTTAAAGCTGTTCTAGGCTGGATCTTTCACTCTGTGGGATTTCTAATTATGCAAGTTCAACAAGAAGGGTGCTAACCATGGATTCTCTAGACTGGAATATTGTTTCACAGCCTTTTCAAGTTGGTGACCTTTTTTTTAAAATTAAAACTTTTGTATTTGTAAAAAATGTTAGTCTACTGTTACAGCTTTAGCTTTTTTATATGTAAGGCAAAAGATTGGCACGTAATTTGGACTGCCAAAGGAGTAGGGAAGTGTTTTGATATTTTTTAAATTTTTTTCCCCCTCTTTAGTTTTAAGAAATGTTAAACATCTGGCATCCTGATCTTTTTTTTTTTGACCACCTCTGCTCTGAAATCTGACCTCAGTGCATGACTTACTATTGAGAAAAGCACTCTAGACCTTTGTCATCTTAGCTTTTGACTTGAAACTAAGGCAAGCCATAACTAAGGAGAAACAGCTTCAGAGTAACTGGCAAAGACGGGGAATATTAGTAACTAGTCTTGCAGCTGCTTTGTGGAGATGGCTGTGTTTGTCTGCAGCTTCACTGAATGGGAGATGAAGCACTTTGGCACAAAGACGAAACTGAATCCTGGCCCAGGGAAAACTAGAGCAAACCAAGGCATAGCAATTCTTAAGGCCTGTTCTTTTTTGCAGTCTTGGTCATATATCCCTGGTGCAGATTTACCAAGAGGGCTGGTATGACTTACTTTGTAGGAAATCTGAACTATACAAGCCCTGAAATAAGAATGTTGCCTGTGGACTAGAACAGAGTTTCAGTCCTTTCAAATTTGGTGACTAAATTTAGGGGACTAATTACACAATTAATTAGAGCTATATCTCAGGTGCACATATACCAGAGGGTTAACATGACTATGAATCCCTTTTCACCCATCCCTCTCAGTCTGGGTATCACAGGTGCGTGATGTGGAAACACACAATTATACAGCAGTCCCACTCGGATGGCAGTTTTGCCCCAGCCTTGTATGTACTAATGAGATAATGTACATTATTGCTTGGACAAAATGTCCAAGTTCCTGAACTTTGGTATGAATAGAAGTGGTGTTGGGCACAGCAAGTTCCTTGTGTGCTTTTAACGTGAATGTTTATATGGCACGTCTATAGCTCAGTAATTAGAATATCCCAGCTGACATACCCAAAGCTTTTGGGGATGTTAGAGTTTTTTTGCTGGTAAACATTTCAGCCATCCAATTTGAAGCTTATTCTATTTAGGATACAATTAAAGTCATCCTCATGTCAGATACCCAGGCAAGGTATATCTTCAGCCATTTTCATAAACAGAAGATACCATAAGATGGCATGTTTTTGTAATGATAATTTCATAAAGAATACCTTATCATTAAAACTTCTTTCAAAAACTTCAATGTAAATTTATTCCTTAATGAGGCTACTCTTTCATAAGTAATAATAGTCTACATTGTATTGATAGTCTCGAAGCATTGTAAAAGAAATATTATTCTGATTATTTTGTCCTATACAGACAAGTTTTGGTCAATAATGTCAATGTAACTGTTACTAGTGAGATCTCAGGAAAATCTTGACTTAATAACTGTACCTTCCTTTTATTTGAGTTCTGGCTTTGTGTGACTGGTTTATCTCAATAAAACCATTTGTTTAACACTTTTTTTTCCTTTTATTACAAATAAATGTGTGTGTTTCGTGTCTAGATGGATCCAGGTCTAGAAAAGCACAGAGAACAATTAGTAATTGAAGTCGGCAGAAAACTGGACAAAGCCCGCATGATTCGCTTTGAAGAACGAACTGGCTTTTTTTCTTCAACAGATTTAGGCAGAACTGCCAGCCACTACTATATTAAATACAATACTATAGAGGTAAAATATGATGTTCTATTTCTGGGGTTTTCTTCCTTCTTTTTGAAGCTATACCTAAAATAGTTGTAAGATATTACAGAATATGTAGCTGATTTGTTCAATATATTTTCAAATCATATTTATTGAAATGGGGAGAGAGGGAATAGAGAGGAAAAACAAAGAAACTAAGTATAAAGCAATACTGAAAAATTAGACTTGGTGTGAAGTGAGATTTGAAATTTCTGTAGTCTCTGCCTTCTTTTAGGTGACTTATAAGAAACATTTTGGTAACAGTGTGTGCAACCATTGGTACATGATAGCACATTCAAGTATAGAGTCTGATAACAGAAAAGTTTTTCTGCATGAAAATCCTATCAGGTTGCCAATCTTAAACAACTTTTGGCACTGTAATCAGATTGTGTTGTAAATGTGTAAGGAAGATGCATTTGTACAAAACTTTGTAGTATTGGAAGCTTGATTTGATGTACACATTCATCTTAAAACCTTTCTTTTGTAGTGAATAAGTCTTTTTCTTGAATAAAAGCTGAAGACTGCATTAATATTTTTTAACTGTTTACTGTCACTATGTATAATTGGTCTCACAGATTTCTTCACTCAAATATGTCCTATACTTTTTTTGAAATGGCCATAGATTGCACGTCTCGATTTTGGGATGCCCAAGTTTCGAGGGACTGTTTTTCTGAAAGTGCTGAGAAGTCGTTCTGGAAATTGTTCCTGTTTAAATTGTATCACTCTGGTCTGCCAATAACTTACTTACATTTTAACCTTATATGCCATTTAAAATCTTGGTTAATGTTTCTTTCTTTTGTGCTATATGTGCATTTTTATTTTCAGTACTAAATCAATTCATTTTTTTTTTAATAGACTTTCAATGAATTGTTTGATGCTCATAAAACAGAAGGCGATATTCTTGCTATAGTATCAAAAGCTGAAGAATTCGAACAGATAAAGGTAAAGTTGTATTCTTTCATACAAAGAATATGTCTTAGAACTAGACACTTCTGTAGTACTCACTCCATAAATAGTGTTTACAGACCCAAGTTTTGTTAAATATTAAGCACCATTATAAAATGTTTTCTAAGTAGGCATAATTGCCAAGAACTATATATGCTCTCACTCAAATTCACATGTAGTTCAGCTTGAACTATAGTGCACATTTAATAACTAGTTGTGGACCTTTGAGAATTCCTTTTAAATGCCTTTAAGAACTTTTCAGCTTCTCAATTATTAACAGGTGAAGATAAGTGTCCATTGGAGTGGTGCACCCAGGGACGAGATAGTTTTTCTGTTTGAAGTTTAAACCATTATTAGATGTCTCACTGAACAATTTGCTTTATCAGAAATGAGGCAGGACTCACTGAAGTTAACTCTGTGATATACTTCATGCAGGGAACAATATTAGATTAGCAGAATGATAAATTCTGATAAATTATTTTCAAATTTGAAATCTAGAAAGTTGTTGTAACAGATTTTGTTGTGCAGGCTAGATTACTGTGCTATTGTACTCAGTTCAATTCCAACCTCCTTTTTTGCCTCCTGTGAGGGTAGGACACAAGACAATACACTGCAAGCCGGCATGAGCTTGTTTGCCCATGCTTCCATCTCAGAGGTGCGAGCCAGACTCCACGGGGTTTATTAGCTTAGGCTCATTGCCATTTTACCACAATTACACAACTTTCAGATCAGAGTTGGCTCTCATTCACCTGGCTCTGTGAACCGGCAGTGTGAATCCCTCACCATCTACATATTTATATATTTGCACACATTGTCTGAGTATTACCATCTCTTTATCTAATGAAGAAATTGTATTTTGCAGAAATCTCTTCTATCATAGAAGATAATAAGCGGTGAGGTTTCACAGTGATACATGCAATGTTTTCAAAGCTAGAAGGCTTTTTTATGATAGTGGTATTGCTTTACTAGGTCTAAATTTAGCGTAATTGAATATTTGAAAGGAAAGCATATGGAAAATATGATGTGATATGTTTCTATATTTGTAACAAAGTTATTAGTGGTGCTTCTTGGCTAAAGCATAGTTTTTCTAGTTTGCTTTCTCAGATTTGTATGGTATGGCATCAGTGCAACATCATTTCCAGTTTTTTGTGATTCGTTTGCTGTGCAGCTCTGAATGTTAAAACTAGTAACCGATTTTCACAAAAATAAGTCAGGATTTGCCCCTCTGTGTGATACAAATTGTGACTTTTGTTGATATGAATCATGTTTCCATAATGCCTTTAAAAATTCTGTATTTTGAGATATGTAAGTCACCAGTAACTGAAATACAGATCTGGATTTGACCTGTACTGTGCTATGCAAGAGCAGAAAAAATTATCAAAAATGCCGTTGTAAGCAGAGCATAATATTCCCGTGACACTGGAGTCATCTGTGATGGTTGCGTCCTTCATTTTTTTCTTTCCTGTAGGACCAGTGGCTGGATAGTTGGGGATTTTAACCCAGTTGTCTTAGGGTCTTTTGTATGTCAGGTAGTCAGGTCCAAATGAAAATTACTTTCAGCTGGTTCCCTGCAGGGACCAAACATTTACCCTCTTTAAATAAGTTTTACACTAACAGACTATCAGTAAATCAAAGAATATGTAGATTTATGGTGGTTTTGCCCCCTAAGGGTCATCAGTTAGAATGTGAAATGTTATGCATTATTCAAACCATAGATATGAATATTTCTTTACTCATATTAAGACTTAATCTTATTAACAGTGAAAATTTTAATATCATGAATCATAGTACTTCATAGTTTTGAGTTAAAAATGTATTATGCCACATGCAAACTATGTAACTATAATGAGTACATTTAATGTTAATTCAAGATTGCCCTAATCCAGATGGACAGAGGTTTTACTCTGGTCAAATAAAAAATGAAATCTCATCAGATGAAGGATGGTAGGGTCAGAAGATTCAATTTTTGTGGCATATCAAATTTTTGTATGTCAATGGCAACCTTAATAGATGGTGATGAATAATAAAATGTAATTGTGTCACTATTAAGACAGTTTCAATTATGGTCTATTAGCTACATTGTGGAAGATGTGGGTTTGCTGCTTTTTTTCTTCTTTTTTTTTTCCCCCCCTTAAAACTAGGGACTCCATTTAAAAATAATGTAACTATGTTATAAGGAAAATTTGATTTCGATGTAAAATTTTTTATCAAATTGCTCCAGCCTCTTCACAATGTATAATTGTGTTTTAGGTAAGAGAAGAAGAAATAGAAGAGCTGGATACCTTACTGAATGATTTCTGTGAACTTCCTGCTCCAGGAGGTGTGGAAAACAATTATGGAAAAATTAATATCCTCCTTCAAACATATATTAGCAGAGGGGAGATGGACAGCTTCTCCCTTATTTCAGATTCTGCGTATGTTGCACAGGTAAAAATAGTATTTTTTACATATCTGTTGCTGTCTTCTGCTGTTTTCATTCTCCCAAATGTTTACAATTATGTAAGTAGGCCTTGATTTGCAACTTTTTGTACGTTTTTATGCAAATTGAGTTGAAAATCAGAGCCTTGTGTGTGTGCGCATGTGTGGTATAATATTTAAGTAGAAAAGATTTGCAAAAACCTACCTTGGGAGACTATTGCATTTTTTGTTAATTATGAATGTCCTTTTGTTTGTATTACCCCTGTAGTCTTAGTAGTTCTAACTGTGATTGCACAGAAATGTTATTCTTAACTTACTGGGTTTTCTTCTAAATCTGGAAAACTGTTGCAATTTATTTTTATGTTTTGTGTACTTTTATACTTTGTTCTGCAAAACGTAATTTGTGTTTTATTCACATATCTTAGTTTACACAAGAAAGATGTGCTATTACTATTTTATTGCTAGATGTAATCATGCAGATTTACATATCAGCCTATATATTTGTTTGTCGACTTGTTTTGAGACCTGAATGGTTGACAGTTATACAGCATGTTTAGTTATTACACAGAATAAAAGAACTGCAAGCCTGTGACACAGAACTGCTTGCTTACACAACCAGAGCCCATCTTAGAAAGAAAGGGGTGTTGCTTGAAAGTTTAGAATTCTGAATCCCGAAGAACTGGAAGTGACAAAATGCTCATAGCCAATCCCAGATGTGCAACAATAACGAATGTATAAAATGGATATAAAGTTTTACCTTTTAGCCTGTCCTATGTCTCTCTCCTTTTCTTTTCTTTTCTTCTTTCTTTTCTTTTCTTTTCCCTTTTCTTTTCTTTTCTTTACAGTCAGCAACAAGTTGCATTGAATCATTTTCGTCTCATCCTTACAAAACCATTTTGGAAATGATTGTAAAATTGCATTTAGTTGGTGCTAAAGATGAGAGTTAAATATTCAAAAGTATACATATTGTTCAGCGAGATTTTTATACTAACATTACCTTCTTCAGAAGTGTTTACATTTCATAGTATGTATGGGTATAAATGAGAAAATTCTGAAATCATTACACACCTCATAAAAATTGTGCACAGCAAGATCATTTTCAGTAGGATTCTTCTAATCTTTGCTTTCAAGACAATTGCATTTATTTGTCTGTCTCAATTATAGCATTTTTAGTGAGGCAACATGGTCATCTTCTCAGATCTTCATAAATTGTACATGTGGAACCAGTGCTACAAATTGTAAATTTTTTGGATTGGATAGTGACTATTAAGAAAATCATTCATCCTTTCTAAGTAAAAGAAATGTGCTTCTTTATTAACATATGCTTCTTATCACAACCAAATAATCTTCTATTTTTTATTCCTGTTGGCATTGCAGAGCCAGTAGAGAATGATTGTATTCTATTCAATGAATCAAGAACAGAATTGCTAATCCAGGCATAGTGCCGGTAGGAAAAAAAAACAAACAAACAAAAAAACAAAACACCCCCAAAAAACGAAAACAAAGACCAAAAAAACCACAACTTCGTAATACAGCTTGATAAGTTTATGAAAGGAATATCATAACTTACATTTTCAGGATAAGACTGACCTCATTCAAGCTTACGTTAATAATTAATTTTTCAAGTTCAAAGCAGATTTATACAGTTTGGTTATACAGTAGTCTCAGAAGATAGTAACATGTTAAAAAAAAGTCACTACTGTTAAACTTCTGTGCAAATGTTGTGAAATTCAATGTGAAATGGGATGCTATTATGGAAGCACAACTGCAGTGAAAAATTAAAACTTGATTTTCCATATAAACTGAGTTTGCAGGTGTATATTATATGGGGGGAGAAGGAGGAAGATATTCACGGTAAGTTGATTTGTTTCAGAAGTGACTGAGATGCAATAAACTTAGAAGTCCTTAATGTTACCATAACCGTGAACAAAATTATGTGGCAGACCAGCCACTACAACTTTAATCAGTTGCACATACTTCTTTTCATAATTTCTTTAGGCAATCATGAAGTAGTTGTGCCACTAGACAGTGATGGAAAAAATAGTTTTCAAGAATGTTTGAAATAAGTTTGAAAAGAAAAATCTATTATGGTTTGTCAAAGATGAGTCTATGGGATCCTTTTCATTTTACAAAGAATACTTGAGAGAATTACAACATTTTTGCTTTTTTTTCACTCTCCAGAATGCAGCTCGTATTGTTCGAGCTCTTTTTGAGATTGCCCTTAGGAAACGTTGGCCTGCAATGACATATCGACTACTGAATCTCAGCAAAGTCATTGACAAGCGGCTGTGGGGCTGGGTTAGCCCTTTGAGACAGTTCTCAGTGTTACCACCATCAGTCCTCTCAAAGTTGGAAGAGAAGAATCTCACTATAGACAAGATGAAGGACATGAGAAAAGATGAAATAGGTGAGAAATCAGCAATTCTGATCTGCTTAAACTGTTAGTAATCAATGGGCAGGTTAGAACTAAATCTGAGCCATTCGTTAATATACCCACTCTGGTCTGGAAGCCATGTAGACACATTAATTTGGTATTATGGTCTGTCCAATAAAGAAGGTTTATTCAGTCTCCACAGCTTGTAATATGGCACAGCTTTGAGGGTAAGGCTAGCCCATGTCCTGCCAACCCCAGAATACATGTGGAATGGCGATGTATGTTGATACGTATTTACATATATGTGTATATATACATATTTATGTTGATCTGTGCTTCCCTTCTTGCTCACATTGCATGATACACTACTATAAAAGGCATCTGTTTATTTTTGCCAGTTGGCAAAATATGGCCGCTTTTTTTTTTTAATTGAAATACTATTAACGTGAAAAAGAATAAAAGCAGATTATTATGTCCTGGTATACTATCAGTAAATGGCCTGCTTCTGAAACACTGCATTAATTTTCATTGAACATGGAGAATTCATTGTCACTGGTGTCATTGCAGCAAAACCTTAATGGAATTTTTTAAAGGATTTGAGACTTCGATAATGAGAAAATCCACAAGCCTACTGATAGGCATAATGACAATTTCTAGTATGTGTGTATAAACTGTTGTGCATAAACTGTCCACCAGCTGGTTGAAGTTGAAAAAAAAATTTGCTTGTAATGTATTTTTTTTTCCTATCTTAGTGTATTTTTTCTTATTTGGGCTTTCTTTGCACCTGTTATTGCCAGGGTGTTGAGAAATAAACTGCCATTTTTTTAAAAATCTGATTTTACAATAAAAATACAATTCATAGTCAGTGCTTTTTAGAAGTTATGACCTCTGACTTGATATTTCTCTCATTTGACAAGAGAACTACATTCGCAACTTAGGAATCTTTGTTACACCCCTAATTTAGGTTGGAAAAAGTTGAATAAATGTGTAAAAGTTTGCAGAATTAGAGGCTATATTTTTATTTAATAAGTTAAGCCAAAGGACTATGAGAAAATTTTAAAAGCTTACTTTAACTGTGCATTATAATACATGGTAATTTTAAATGTATTAAAAATATAACATTTTATTTGAAGTGCTAGCATTATCATGCTTTTCTATTCAGAAGCGTTATAGCACTTTTTTATTCAGGTTCGTTAATTTGTTCTGTATTTGTGCAGTCTTTTTAATACTTAATATTCTTTTCCATTAATTGTATTAGTCCTTTTTTTTTTCTTTTCTTTTTATATGCTTCTTTCTCCCCATACCTGCCCTTGGAGAAGCAAGAAATTTTGTATTAAAATACAAAACCAGTTTTGCTTCCTTCAACCTAGCGGAACTGGTATTGACAAGATGGCAATGCTTCAATATATACCTACAAAATGTCTACTTTTGTTTTATATTAACTTAGTTTGAAAGTAGATGAGACTTGGGATTTGACTGTGAAAATAGGTCATTGCTGACTATGTGTAATGATATTTCATGTCCTTCAGCCTTATAAACATCAAAGCAAGCTGATGTGTGCCTCTCTGTGAAGTGCTGTTGCTTGGCATACTTCTTCCTGTCTAGCCTCTCTTTCTGACACCACGGGTGTGAAGGAAGCGCTTGCCTGGCGCCTGCCTTATTTTTATTTTAATTCAAAGCCATGTCGAAATGAGAAAAGGCACAGCTTCCAGGTGCTGCCTTGTTCTCTGACTCCATAGGACTGGTTTCAGTCTTAGCGTTTCTTCCTTTTTAAATGTTACTGTGGCCTTGGAGATAGGATAGAAAAGGCAGGAGCTAACTGGCTAACTCAGTCCATGGCCTAGGGAGGGATAAAAGCATCAGATGAGTGCCAGCTCTCCCAGTGAATGGAGAGTACGTCGTGTGCACAGACCCTGGATTCCAGTGTACCACAAATTGGTCAACGCCTATCTATGTGCTGTTGCAATGTAATCACGGAGTTTCCAGAAAGCCAAGAAATCACTGTGTTACCTGAGATAAACAGCCCTGGTTTTTCAGAATACGGATGACAATCATTGTGGAATAAGCAAAATTTATTCTTCTTTTGTTAAACATACCTATTTTCTCGAATAGTCATCTGTTGTTCAGAAGGTCTTGATATTTCTTAAATGCCATTGATAGTTTCTCATAATGTGACTATTTAAAAAAAAAGGCGGGGGAAGAGAGTTTTATAATATTTTACAGAAGCTGGGAGAGGAACCTTATTTTCCTCTAGCAGACAAGTGTACAAAACCTCAGTGCTGTCCTGTACAAACACAGAAGTTCACCTCACACATCGTGATACAGAAAGTGATTTTTGGCATGAAAAAGTGTACTTGCCTACATAAGCTTATTGAGTCATATCTTTGAATGTTTGGCACCTACCTTTATTTAACACAATTTCTGAAGTTTTACCTCTAATTGCAAAAGCTAGTCACTGTGCAAGTATGCTATAATACTGTATATATCACCAGGTTGTACCAATATAATTATTTTGGGTTTTAATAATCCGCTTGCTGGAGGTGCGCTTATTTTACCAACTGCAAATTAAACTGATTAAATATGTGTTAAAACTTTTTCATCAGGGATTTGCTTCTTAAGCAAGATCACCGTTCATTACTTCAGAGTATAGACAAACACCTGTGTGAGGCAAAATCTGCCAGTTTGTTAAATAAGAAAAACCGAAGAGGGAAAGTCAGGATCAATACAAAAAAATTAGCAATTGCAAGATGTCATCCTCCTAAATTTCATGCAATGGCAACAAAAAGTTTGTATGACCTTTTCACTTTGCACATAATGCAAATAATAGGTTTTCTTCTCTTTTTTTCTTTTTTTTTTAAATGGGAAAGTGTGCACAGGAACCACATAATGATATCTGAAAATATCAGTAGCCATTTGTAAGGTAGCTTTTAACAGTGAGTACTTATGACCATTACCATTAAAATTTAAAATATGCTCCACATAATTATATAAGCAATTTCAGTGAAAATGTGATAAATCAACCTCAGTGCATATGTGATAAATCAACCTTCTTTCCCTAAATAAGATAGAAGTTGCAGTATTTTTCAGGAAAAAAAGAAATCACTGCTACACATTTTGTTTTATATTTATAATGAAGAGCAAGGAAACGGAGATTTCAGCTGTAAAATACAAGTAGGAATTTTTTTTTAATTAATATAATCACTTTATTTCCTTAGTTACCATGACTGCGATAGAAAGTCAAAAACATTGCAACATTTAGTTTTTCCTTTGTCTCAGTTACACACTGCTGTATTCTGAAATATCAGAGCTGCTGCGAGATGTTTACTAGTTGCGTGCATTTTTAAGCTATTAACTACCTTTATTCAGTTTTATAAAAAGTGTTCTTTGAATCTACTTTGAATCACTACACAGGAATTGTAGAAGTTCAAATGTGTGCCCTTCATTAAGTAAAAGGTAAGTATTCATGCTTTAAAAAAGAACTATATGGCTTGGTAAGAGCCTGGTCAAAAAGTCAGTAAAGGAAAGGGAAGTAGCTTGACATAATATGTTTTCAGTGTGAATTCTTAATAGTTATTTTAACCCCTTAGTTATAGCCAACAGGGGGGTTAATACTGATTTTTCTAGGCTCTAAATTGCTAATTCGAGTTAAGTATTACAAAATATTCAGACATGCCAGGTCAGGAGAGTCAGACATTTACGCACCTAAGAGCAAAACAAGCAAGCAATAATACTCCTCTCTAAAAGCCTATTTGAAAGTCGGAGTTGTATTATTTTTCCTGGAAATGCAAATTTGTTACACCTGATGTTTTCTTGGCAGGTCATATGCTGCATCATGTGAAGATTGGGTTAAAGGTAAAACAGTGTGTCCATCAAATCCCCTCCATCATAATGGAAGCAACGATTCAGCCAATTACCCGCACAGTGCTCCGAGTTCGGCTGAACATCGCTCCTGACTTCACGTGGAACGATCAGGTAAAAAAAAAAAAAGAGGTGGAGGACTGACAGGAAGCATTAATTTAGCTTCAGTAAAGGAGATGATCACAGGGAGTCCATAGCTGTTTGGATAAGAAAAAAAAATATTTATTTTAGCTAAAAAGCAAATTTGATAATAGGAATGGAATGACCTTTAAGACTTTTGTAGAAGGTGGCACCCAAAGATCATCTTTTTATTTCCATTAATTGTTACAGGATTGCACTGTTTATAACATGTTCAAGCAAGTGCTTATACTGAATATTAATAGTAGTCACACACAGATTTAAGTTATATGTCCGAAAAGGAGAAGCTAGAAAAAGGGAGGCATGGATGGCTCTCTGAACTAGGAATGAATGTCAAACACAGAAAATAAAGCTTTGAAATACAGTTCGTGTATGCCAAGGTCTGCTGCTCTTTATGGCTTTACAAGTGTACATTCACAACATCAGTGCCTTTTTTTCTGTTGGGACTTGTCTGAACAGACAAACTGGGATATGTTTGGAATTATATTCATCTGTGTTTTATGGTGCAAATTTATATGAAAGGAGTTGTACTAGTTGCACATTTAGATATACCCACACCCTTTGATTCAGAATCTGTTCATTAGAAATAGATTTAAAATAAATCTAAATGAAATACAAATGTCCACATGGGGGCATTGTATTGTTGCTGGTACTTCTGAAACTTTCTACAGAAACAAGGCAAAGATACCTCAGTGGGCAAGCATATTTTTCAGTTTTTTACGCGTAGGAGATTTACACTAAAGATAAATTATTCTGAAAGGTGGATATTAAGTATCTGTTCTTTTATTAAAAAATAATTTTAAAATTCCTTAGATTAACCTTAATCACATGTAAATTAGAGTTTTATTCCACAAATATTTAGATTATTTTAGAATCTTTTTTCCCTGCCTAAAGGCTTTTTCTTTTCTTTTGGAAGTTTCACCAAGTTAGCTTATGAATGGGAGATTAATGATCAAAATATAAAAAGTTAGATTTTGTTTGCTACCTGGGTTTATTACAGAAATATTTGAATGGATTCCTAACAAAAATTATAACATGAATTTTTTTTTTTTTACTGCCTTATTTATGTGCAATACTTCAGAAGGCAAACAAACATTGCTTTTTAGGATTGAAACAAGTTTTTATTATTCAATCTTTCATCCACTTTACCTGTAATCTATTATAGACAAAAAAAAACCACGACTGTTCTTCATATTAAACTGTATCTTAATACAAAGTAATTTCTCAATCCATTTTTAGATTCTTCTACAAAGTCTAGGTTTTTCTATATTTTCACAAATTGAGAAGGAGACCACACAGAATTATACTCTCTTATTTCGATTCTGAACTTCTAAAGTTATAGCAAAACTTTGGCAAAAATCTATTTTCTGCTATGACCCCTTGACACAGTTTTCCTAAAGGTTGCTTTGGAAACATTATGATCGTTTTATCAATTCAACTTAGGGAGCCCTTTTTGTGTGAGTTTGTATATTGGTACTCATCGAAACTTGGAAGACTTTTTTTTTTATTATTTTTGTAAGGTAGCTGTTGATTTTCTTGTTTCTTCAGTAAATGACACTTCTATCACAGTAAATAAACAAAAAAAGCTGTTAAATTTTAATAGTCTCTAAAAATGAATAACTGTCTTTTAAATTCAACCATTGACACTCCGAAACTGCTTCTCCATCATCGCACAGTATTTTAGCAAGCTATTCAGAAGAAGACTATAGAAACTTAAAGGTATAGCTGTAATCGGTACAAAAACTAGCTGCCAAAAAATTCCATTCAAAGAATGGGAGTAGTCAAATAAAATCAGAATATTAAAAATTTCAATACCATACTTAACTGAAATACTTCACTTGGCTAACATTTCATGGTTTTAAGACTGTTCCTTTACCTGGGTACTTAATTCTAGAACGATCTCATCACAAATTTTGCACTTGCCTTTACAAGAGAAAGAAGATATGTTTTGGTAGTCCTGAGATGTGACATCATCATGATCTTTAAGGGCTGCAGTTTTCAGTGCTGGGAGCCCAGCTTCAGTAAAAGCATGTGAGCCATATCCCGGTGGAAAATTCTTATTATATTGTTAGAAGCAAAGGACTATAAACATACCCAGACAGAGCAAGTAAGCCTTACTGCAGCCAGGAGGAGTCCAGCAGAAATACAGAATAATGCAGCTAGTATTAATTAACCAAGTCATATATCAGACATGCAGTTGTAGGGCAATGGTTGCCCAAAACACAGGTGTGTGTCAGTTCTTAAGAGCTCCCCAGAGTTCTTGAGAATCGTTACTGGAGAGCGTGTTGCATTGCCTATTCCCACATTGCCCTTCTTTCCCCATGCAGCTTTGTCACAGGACTCTCCAAAACTAAGATGCTGTTACAGCTGATAATAAAATTTCTGAGCTTTGAACTTTATCGCCTTCCTTAATTCTTTTTTCCTCTCTTAAATTCTCCTAAACCCTGATGAAGTAATAGTCTCACTGTAATTTTTCAAAATGTCACCTGCAGTGACCTGTGTCCTTTCAGTTTCACTGCTTCAGTTCCTAGTGAAGCTGCTAGTGAAACTCAAATGTAATGAAAATGAGTGACAGTCTTTACTGTCCGTCTACTTATCTATTGTGCAACCGTGTTAAAAAAGAACCTTAGTTCTATTCTTAGTACATATTTTTGTCTTCAAAAGCCAGTACAGACTGTTTTCCAACACATACACAATAATGACTTATGCTGAAAATAATGTGTGCTGCGTGAATCAATACCAGATTCCTGTAGCGTTCAAATTGCCTTTAGAAGCAACTGTGCGCTTTGTGCTTTTTCCTATTAACTACAGTTTAGGAATAATTCCAACTTTTTTTTCATCTTCATGCTAGTTTTGTACCTTGTCATAGTCCTCATCAGAAACATCAGAAATCTATGTTCATTTAATAGTATGTCTCCCATACTCCTTTACTGTGCATTTCTCTTCCTTTCCTAGATATTTAAGTAAAATGCTTGCACATTGGCACAAGTCATTTATTCTGACAAAGAAACAAAAATTCTTAACTGAGCATCCAACCTAGCTATGATTTGCGGCTGGCATTGCAAAATAAGGTACACAACAAAACAAACAAAAATCTAGGATGGAATAAAGTGTTGCCAGATGGCATGGGAATCATCAAGAGACAGCTCTATTTACGGTCTTCTCACTTCACCTGTAGCAATGACTAGATCTACAGCCTTCTGAATCCACTTACTGTATCTTTGTAGAGGAGGGGGGAAGAGAGAGAGGAGGATAGAGGAATGTCACAATTCAGTGTCCAGTTTTTCCTGAGAGAATGTTTTTGACTGAAAAATGAGCAGTGGATAGCAAAAGACAATCCTCTATACAGAATCCGAAGACAGAAGTACAAGGAGGAAAAAGGAGGAGGAGTCCTTTTTTAGGAGCCTAGAGGAAACCCTGGGAGTTCGGTCTATTTATAAACAGCTGAGGCACTAGCTTCAGTTGCATTTATATCATGTCCATTTATATTATTCGTACCTTAAGCAAACTCTTACTGAAATATAATCTTTTAGCAGACTGATCTAATTAGAAACGTTATATTGCTCTTACCTCTGATTTCTATATTTCTGTATTCCTTTGTAAGCCTACATCGTTTAGAAATATATCCGATATACCCAGCAAATCTAGGGAACCTCATTACAACTATAACAAAGCTATCTTTTCTACTCTTAAAGGTACACGGCACTGTTGGAGAGCCCTGGTGGATTTGGGTAGAAGACCCTACTAATGATCACATTTATCATTCAGAGTACTTCATCATTCAAAAAAAACAGGTAATGGATTTTATTCAGAATCTCATAGCAAGACAAAAATAAAGTTAGTGAGATGCAGATTTGTAAGGTCAAACAGTATTTTGACCTAAGCAGATTTTCAAATCAGTAGCACAGCTTTCAGTTTCAGATATACGTGATAAGCTTGGACTTCCACAAAGATGTTTTCTAATCTCAGATGTCCCTTTTTCTCCTCCTCCTTTGGTGGGACGGTTATTTCCAGGTGAAAAAAGGAAGACTGTAATGGTTTTGTCTGTTAAAGAAAAAGATAAAGAGCCAGCCTTATTTTTATCTTTTGAAGTCCATGGAAACAAAATCCATTCCCAGTGGTGAAATATTTTATAAAGATGTGAACGTTTTGCACATGGAGTTGCACACATACTTTATTGCTTTGTGTTGGTAATGCTTATGGAAGTGAGGCAAACTGATTTTTCAAGTTACTGATTTGTCTGTGCAGTAATTATTCTCTACATGTTTGCATTAGGTCATTACTAAAGAACCTCAACTGCTGGTGTTCACAATCCCAATTTTTGAACCTCTTCCTTCTCAATATTACATTCGAGCTGTGTCCGATAGATGGTTAGGAGCAGAGGCTGTATGTATCATAAATTTTCAACATTTGATTCTTCCAGAGAGACATCCACCCCACACAGGTAACTTCAAATTTGATCATTTTGTTTTAATTCATCTTGCTCATATTGATTTTCCTTATGATAGTGCAATAAATCTCTTACCTTCTGCTTCGTCATAGAAAAGTATATGGAATTTCACTTTGTGATATATTTGTATTATCGAGACTATTTCTTCACTAACTTTAAAGCTTTCTAAAATTTTAAATTCCTGAACAAAAAGCAGTTCATTTCATCTCAACGTAATACCAGCCTTTTAGTTACTCCAGTTTCTCTATAAACCATAGGAAAATTGAAACTGTCATATAAAACTAAGCAAATCTCTGTGTTACTGTATGTCTTATCTTAGTGCTTGTAAGCGTTACGTTTCTTCTGGACTGGTTAAAAATAATCTTAGAGTGGATGGTTGTATTATAAATGGCATTCAGCAAAGAAAAAACAAACAGTTAAAATTTTGAAAATATGAAACATTTTACTATTTTTACTAAAATAAATTCATTATAGCAAGCACTGTTACGGTACCAAACATCGCATTTCAACTCAGCACTGCTGATCAAGTCATGGCCTTCCCCTCCCCCTCCTTTTTTAACACTTGGCACAGAAGCATATGTTTGTGTTTTGCTTCTTTTTTTCTGGATACATAAATTGCTTTATACATTCATTGTGCCTGATGTCATTGTAAAACCTTTCCACTGTAATTACATTTGGCTCATCTAGCAGTCTGTGAAGTGAGTGCCTTCAGAAATACTCAGTTCTCATACGGTGCTGTCCTTTGGCATGCGTAAATTCACATGTGTTTGTGAAGTGTTTAGCTATTGTTATACTGTACCTACGCTGTCTGGAAAAGCATGTGTAACCTTTTTATCTAATTGACTGATCACTGACTACTATTCAGAAGAAACAGAAAGATATTTACACATCACCAGTTATGGAGCCTCTAGGATTTATGGTAATTGATTTCAATTCCCATCTGGTTCCCACTCAACAATGAAGTACATAGAGGCCCTGCTAGGCAAAAAACCTTCTTTCTCCTCAACAGGGCCCAAGAAATCACAGTTTCAGTGGGACTGATAAACCAGCCGTAAGGTATCAGTGAAAAGCATGTGAAGAATATTAGGCATCATTGCCTCAGTAGATTTTATGACTCCCATATCATACCTTAATGTGAAGCACCCTGAAAAGACAATGAGACCTCCAGCCACAAAAAAAAAAAACACAAACCCAAACTTCAAAGCAAGCATCTGCATAGCAGAATCACTGCAGTCTCCTTAATTTGGTAGGATTCCAAATCCGATCTGGTTATATATATCATCTTCCAAATTCCACAATCTCTAATTGTTTGGATAGCAGATGCCCTCAAGATATATTGAGCATCATATATTGAAAGGCTGTTTGTTTATTCATTAAGATTATGTCTTTAATTACACGTTTAAAGGATTAGATGCAAAATTTAGTTGTACTCATCTGATTTGTATTACTCCATCAACTTAGAAACTCCAAAGAATCCTTCCTTCTTAAATAGATTTTTTTCCTTGAATCTGAAATATACAGACTATGCTGTCCTCTGACTCTGCATTCTGTTATCATAAGAAACTGGACATACATATAATCTAATACAGTGAGTTTAGAACTTACTACAACTGGGTAAAAAGGAAACAGCTTTAAGAAAAAGTTTAATTTATGCAAATGACTGGTTCACAGATATCAGGATACTAACAACAGTACTTGCAGAAATACTTCAGAGCTATAAAATCAACTTTTCATTATTCCTCATCGAAGTTAACAATGACCCAATGTGTCATATGAGATACTAAGTAAAACAATTTCCAATGTAAGTTGTTTTCCACTAAAGTATTGGTTAATATCTTTATCTTTATAATAAACTATGTTATGTCATGGCATCTCTTGACATGCACTTATGATTATTTTGTGTTTTTAGAGCTTCTGGATCTTCAGCCTTTGCCTGTCACAGCCTTGGGACATCGGGAATATGAACTCCTGTACAAATTCACACACTTCAACCCTATCCAGACCCAGATATTTCATACACTTTATCACACAGACTGTAATGTTCTTCTTGGAGCGCCTACAGGTTCTGGAAAAACTGTTGCAGCTGAATTAGCCATCTTTAGAGTTTTTAACAAGTATCCCACATCAAAGGTTTGTAAAATAGGTTTACTAGAATCATTTTGTGTAGGCATGTCTTCAGCAATACAAAAGCCTAGAAGACTATGGCAAACTGAATTTTGCTTTCTCCAATTTATACCTGTCTGGAAACAAAATGGTACTGCATTATGCACATTTTGCTTTTATTTCAACTTTATATATTAATCAGTGTACAACTAGAGTTAAACCTAAAAACATGACATACAGGCATGCTGGATTTCCTTTTCTGTACTTACCTGCATTTCCTGCTTTAATCTCCTTCTACTAGCAGTAGTACTGTTTTATAGCTATTAGATCCCCTCCATGTGACTACAACTAGCCCAGTCTCTCTCTTATTTAAACAAATAGGTCGCAATTAATTACTACAAGCCAATTTTCTGTTCCAACTTGCCCCTGTGTTTTATTTCTTAAATTGTCTAAAAGCTGAACAACTCAGCTTTTGGGATTTTGTTTTCAAAGTGAATATACCTCTGTATCTTGACTTAGCCATCTTGTCTTGGTTAACCACATTTTAGTTTTAAAGTCTTTGGAAAAGATATTTGTATCTGACTGTGAGATTTAACCAAAGAATAACCTTTGAAATTAACAGAAATCTTGTACACAAATCCCTTATTCATCTCTGAAATTTCAGTATCTTCATGTAATTTGTTAGTCCAAGAGAGGTAAACAAGACACTGGTACATTTTCAGCTTATCTATTAGACTTACAAAAAAGCCAATTCTCAAAGGAATATATCTTTTAGGTTTTAATAAAGCTGAAAACATGCCTATACATTTTAAAGAATGTATGTGAATTCTTCATGTAGCGGTTTCTTCATGTTCAAAAGCTTCAGAATATTTAACCATAAATCTCTAAATAAATATTGTTTCTACATGTCAGAGTATTCCCCCCTGCACAGCAGGCTTTTTTGAGGAAAATATTGTGACATTTTGCTTAAAATAATCAGCTTTTTGATTTAATTGGTAATATTTTAATAATTTAACAACATAACTAGAAATCGGGTAAGATATTGCTTGCTGGAAATTCTAATTATTTCTGTTCTAGAATGTTAGCTTGCAGATTTTATAGCCCTGGCAAAAAATGGCACTATTTATATCAGTGGGTTCTGATACTAAATAGTATAATAAATACTTCCATTTCAAGAAATTATTCTTTCTCTTTCTTAATTTATTTGCTTGTTTTAATGGCTCAGGAAACAAAGCAGTATTTTCAAGTGTTAAGTCTGTTTTAAATATAATCCTGTTATAGGTCATTTAAGGAACTCAGGCCTTAATCATTTTACAGATAATGAGTATGTTGAAATCTCACAAGTATTAAATATTTTTTTTCCTTGTAGGTACACTTTAATAAAGGTTTCTTGTTTAACTTCTGGTTTTGTGACATTTCTTTTACAGGCAGTGTATATTGCGCCCTTAAAAGCACTCGTTCGTGAAAGAATTGAGGACTGGAAAGTTAGGATTGAAGAAAAACTTGGTAAAAAGTATGTTTCTTCTTTCCAAATCAGAGAAATGAGAAGCAAAAGAACAGCCCATCAAGTATGAATAAAATCTACAGAATACTTTTGAGTATTTCAAAATAGGTTTTGATTGTATACTGTCCTTCAAATTTCTAGTACTTAAAAAATAAAAAATGCTATCAATAGTCATTGTAGTGACAGCCAAATCAAAACTAAAAAAGGGATACACTTTGATACCCAGCTATTTTCATTCTCATTACTTGCCAGTGTAACAAATGTAAAGCTCAGATTTCTCTCTGCAGTATCCTTGGAAATTGACATTGCAATCCAAAATAAGCTTTCTTTAGAAACCTCAGCGATAAGGAACTCATAGGAGTTGCATGAACTGTATACTAGTATTCATATATTGTCCTTCATATATAAATTAGATATAATTTCATTGCTTGGTACCATTAATTTCTTGCTGATCTTCTCAGGTGTTGGAGTTCAGCCATTACTTTATGATATATAAGGTATATCAGTCATGTTGATGCTTTCCAAAATGATACTTTCTTGAGTTAAAAATTATATCCATAGGATGCATTATTTAGGGCCTTTTCCTTTCCTTTATACAGCTTTTTTTGTAAGTTAAAGTTCAAAGCATACCACAGGTTTCAGTAAAAAGAGGTGCTATTCTGTGTACATGAATTTACTAGTGAGATTCCTGCTATTATCATAGCACTGACTTATTAGTTGGCTTTTCTTTTTTTTTTTTTTTTTGCTACTATTTTCATGGTCTGTAAGAATAAATTATTTGCCTCATAATTTTACAATATTTTCAGGTAATATTTCCTTTTTGAAATTTACTCTATAACATCTGACTGAAATTTTGCACAGAAGTTACACATTACTTGGAGGAATTTTTATTAGATGTTCAACTGCATGTAGAATGTGTCCTAGAAATGTCAAAAATCCATTATATTCAGTCTAAAATGATGGATCATCTCAAATGCTGTTTGTAGAACTTGAAAGGATAATAAGGCAAACAATTGGAAAAACTCTGCTAATCTTCCCAAAAAAATGACCTCAGGATAATTTCTGCTCCAGTCTTAATGGAACTTCACCAACAAATGCAGATACACTGCCATCTAGCCTCGTTATTCAAACCAGAAATCTATACAGAACAGCAGGCAGCAACTTGGTAGCTTTCTAGAAAGCTTTCATCCTGGCTGTGACAGGATGTTATGATTCACATTATATGATACTGATATTCTTATATTATCTTCATTTTGAAAAATTAACCATAGATGGTTTGGGACTCATATTAGCCCTCTTCTTTTTATATGGTTTTGCTAAGGAATGGTATTTGGTACCATTTTCAATTTTGAAAATCCTGTTAGAAGTATTTGACCAGAAACAAAATGACTTTGTTTAATTTTGTTTCTTCGCTCTTTTAAGAGTTAATGTTTAGGAGTTAATATTTGAACATTAAGATGTTCTAAAGCTTTGTAAAGCCAAGCCACTGTCTGTCTTGATTACAGGGTTGTAGAGTTGACAGGAGATGTGACCCCTGATATGAGAGCTATTGCCCAAGCTGACCTGATTGTTACTACCCCAGAGAAGTGGGATGGTGTCAGCAGAAGCTGGCAGAACAGAAGCTATGTTCAGAAAGTTTCCATTCTTATCATAGATGAGATCCATCTGCTAGGTGAGCATGTTTTGTTGTTTTTAATCAGAATCATTGCTAAATTTGAAGTGTGCTGGTACTTATGACATCAATATACTTTTTGACATCTGAACCTTTTCTTTTTCCCTGTTTTTCAATGGACTTTTCATTTACTAGGGGATGACAGAGGCCCAGTATTGGAAGTCATTGTATCTCGAACAAACTTCATCTCATCTCACACAGAGAAGCCTGTGAGAGTAGTTGGTTTATCCACTGCTTTAGCAAATGCCAGAGACCTTGCTGACTGGCTAAATATTAATCAGGTATGAAAAATGTTTCAGAAGACGGATATGTGTTTGTGCTGCAGAAAAATAAAATAGCAATTTATAAGATAATTCAAGGTTAAACTTGAAAAAAATGTTTTCTTGTAGATGGGTCTGTTCAACTTCCGACCATCAGTACGCCCGGTTCCTCTGGAGGTGCACATTCAGGGCTTCCCTGGCCAGCATTACTGTCCTCGCATGGCTAGCATGAACAAACCTGCATTTCAGGGTAAGCAACAAGCTGCTAGACTTTTTCCTTCTTTCTGTAAAAGAAAAAAAGACTTTGAGCACTTCACACAGTTCATTTGCAGCACATTTACAACATGTGTTACTGTACGTACTCTTGGCATGTATAGGGGGAATCTGCTCTGCTAATGGCCCAAAGCTATTTCTCTGAAACATAAAGTGTGCTGCAAATGCAACGTATAACTGAGGAATGTAATGTATTTCGAACAGAAGTATAAAATTAGTGCTAATGAAGGGGAAATAAAATGTGTTTTCTCTTAGTGTTTGACACCATAAAGAAACATTTGTGTAAAAATATTTGAAATTTAGAAAGTAATAAAACCATTCATATTATTAATCTGCTGAGGTATTTTCATATGGACCACTGTATGTAAGCATTAAAAAAATTGTGAACAGAAGTTGCAAGTCAGGCTAACCTCCTATAATTCTAGTTTCAAAGCAATAACCATAAAATCCAAATTTCTAGTTTCAAAGCATTATCCATAAAATTCAAAATTTGTAGTGTATCCAGATATGCTTCTGTTTTCAATTTTTTCTTCTTAACAAAGCTGGCAAGCAGGATAGATTTAAGAAAAACTCTCGTATTTTATTTGAACATGTTTTGTTTTGGTTACATAAGAAATATTTATTATATCAATTAAAAATAACCTCCAAAATAAATTTTGTAATGTGAACTGCTGTTGATTGTGAGGTGACATTTGTGAGGTGACTTTTTAGCTGCTTTAATTAGCCTTATGACAGAAGCAAAGTATTGATTGTGGACTAGAGACCAATCTTGACAGCTCAGATTATTTACACCTCCACAAGAGCATTGTACAAAAACACTAATGAACAATAAATCTGTCTTGGGCTGTTCTGCCACACCTGTTCCTGAAGCAACAAAAATCCATTAGATGCTGGGCTTTTAAAATATATAGATATATTGGCATATATAGTTGTAAGGTATAAATACACATGAATTATCCTATTTCAATAATTTCACAACTGTATAGTGTGTGTATATGCAGGAGCACAAGCTGGGTAGTATTCATGAGCTGGGGAATAATATGTGATGGTGGATAGTATGAAATAGTTTTCAGAAATTAACAATGCATAAATTTAATTGCTAGAACGAGAATTACATGAGAAAACACACAAATGGATTTAGAAGAGATTTAGAGAGAGTATTTGAAATTCTGTATACACCTGTTTATACTTCTAGTGCTTGTTGATGTTAGAAAATCTGTAGATGTATGATCTATTAAGGGTTTTTCTCCCTGCCTGTTTGACATGATACAGTCAAGGTTATTTTAGCATTTCCACGGCAATACTTATTCCTGAGACCATAAAAATTTTGCTGCAACCTGAAACTTTTCAAACATGGGCTGAGCAAGAAAATGCTTTTTTAAAAAGTCCTAAACCATAATTGGTTTAAATATATCAGACTAATTAGTAAACAACAGAAACGAAGTTCTTTTGTACCATAATGCCCACCTTTCTAAGCAGCTATTGAAAAGTCACTTTCTACCTTTTTTACCTTTTCTGGGTTTGGTAGATTGAAGCGATCCTTTGCAGGCTGACATGAGTTTATGCAGTCTGAGCTCTGGGTCAGGCAGGAAGCAAGTTTTGGGCCTTGATGGCACTTAGCCTAAGACAACATATTCCAATAGGGCAGAAAAAACATAACATAGTTATTAAGCTGTGATAGAGAAATTCACAAGCTTTGAAGTCTAGAAAGCTTGTCCAGGTTTTGTGGTGGTTTGGTGGGTTTTTTTTCCTTACTGCTTCTCTTAAATCTTTAGCTTACAATGATCACTGAAGTAGCAGGGCAAATTATTTCAGATTCAGCTAAGCATAGTTATATGATCTTTGATTCAGAGGTGGTATATGCTCACTTCATAGAATCATAGAATCATTGAGGTTGGAAAAGACCTCTAAGATCATCGAGTCCAACCGTCGACCCAACACCACCATGTCCACTAAACCATGTCCCTAAGTGCCTCATCTACACGTCTTTTAAATACCTCCAGGGATGGGGACTCCACCACTGTAGAAACTGTATACAACTTCAGTTGTATCTGTCTGGCAGAATAGAGACTAAGTATACATACCTGTATATCATCTGCAGAGAGGTGTATCAACTGTCTAGGTATTGCAAAGAGAAACTCTAATTTTAGTCCTTAAGGGGCCTAATTCTCAAGTTCTGTTTTCCTCAACAGCAATTCGGAGTCATTCTCCAGCCAAGCCTGTTCTTATTTTTGTGTCATCCAGACGTCAGACAAGGCTTACTGCCTTAGATCTGATAGCTTTCCTAGCCACCGAGGATGATCCCAAACAGTGGCTGAAGATGGATGAAAGAGAGGTAGAATCATTTTACCTGCCTTATTTGTGCTTTGCTTCTATTTTATTAATGTTTGTTTGAAAAGAAAATACATCTAAAACAAAAGAGTCATTTGAGGGTAGATCTTGAAACAGCTTTGCATATGCTAAGTTTCAGTATGTATTAAAACTAGTGTCAGCATTGAGGCTATATAAGCATCTTTGCAAGATCTGAACTTTAGAACGCAAACTCTTTTATCTTTGGTTTTCCTGCATATCTATTATTAATGCTAGTTCCATTGTCCCAGACAACATATATCTCATGATACATGTATCACTTTGATACAAAGATAGGACAAAGAATAAAAGAAAGGGGACTAACGTTCTCCAAAGTTTACAGCTTGAAATCTGTGACATACAGATGTTGAGCTGGAATTTAAACCAAATCTCTTTCAGTGTTTTAGGAGCAAAATCATCCTTCTCATAAGATGACTCTATGTGTAGAGGGTTATGTATCTGCATATATATCTGTGTGTATATATGTACATATGTATATACATGTGTCTATCCATCTATATTCATACATATAGATAGATATACTGCAGAACCAACAGTTTAGGAATGGTTCAGTCTTGCATATCAATGCAATAAATGAATGTTATAAAAAAAAAAAAGATAGCTGCCAATAGCTTTGTTCTAAGAACATAAAGATTACAAAAGTCAAATACTCAGATGTTAAGCAATGCTGGAGTAAAGGTTTAATTTTTTGTTCTTTTTCAAGCAATATAATCTTTAATTACATTTTCTTGTATTGTTTCTAAAAATTCCTTCTTTCATTTATTGCAAAACATAAATGATGGCTAAATAATAAACAACCATTCAATATTCTGTTTTATGCATTCTTCAAAATGTATACTGGATTTTATTTACTGCACTGAGTTCTGCACCTGCTCTGAATACAGAATTATTTATTTCCTTCTGGACTAATGGTCCTGATCATAGTATAACATTGCTTCAAAACAATTTTTTTGGTTGATATTCAGATTTCCCAGATTTTGGAAGATAGCTTTCTCTAATGGTTGCAGACCTTCTGCATAGGAATTTCTGTGATAAAATAGGGCCAAAACACAGCAAAATGCATAATTCATAAATACAAGGTCCAAATTGAATATTGTATGAATATTTATATATCAATAATTGTATGAATAGTTATACAATTGTATACCAAAAATTATATGCCAAAAAGTATAGGTTTCTAGATGAGATTTTTTGATTTTGTTTGCTCTTTGCAAAAAAAATAAAGTGTGATTTTTCTGAGATAAAGCATGACATCTGTATCCTTCCTCATTTGGATGGATTTTAAAAGAGAAAATGGATGTCTTGCCTGATAAACTACTAGTACTAAAACGTCTCAATTTGATGCTGCTTTTCTAACTGTATAACCTCTATTTAATGTTTTCTTGAGCATAACAAATATTTCATATCAAAATTATTAGTGCGTAGTAATCTAGTACCTTGTGCTAGTTTACTGTAGTAATCTCACCTACAATTAGAATATGCAACATGCAGCTTGCCCTAAATGACTTGCATTAATACGAATAGCTTCCTCATGTCCTGTGAGCCACTACTATCCTGAAAAGAACTGTAACTGAAGCTTCTTCACTTGCTGGAAAACGGTTTTCTATTAGGAGTCTTTGAATTTCATATGTTTCAGAATATACCTCTGAAGGTTTTGAAAGAGGAGCCAACAAGGACAAGCAGACTTTGCATTTATTAGTTTAATAACATTTGCATATGATTTGTATTTGAATTAATAAGCTGAATGTTTGGAGCATAAGATACCTAGCAAGTTATTCAGTTTTGATTACATAAATATAAAAGACTGAGGATTAAGGCCTAAGTTGTTATATCTTACCACTATTATGCAGAACACAATTCTGTTTGAAGTACCCACAATTTCAAGTGGACATTTCTTTAGGTAATTATGGGACCAGTTTGTAGTTTTGTCTTTTAAATTAGCATGATTAGCCTGAGTTTCATTTGACATTGAAGTAAAGGACAAAGCTATAGTAGTGCCACATACGTAGTGTATGTACTGCTTAATTCTTTATCCATAATAATTTTTTTTATTTAAAAATTCTAACTTCAAGTTATATTAAAGTCAAGCTTGGACTAGGTGAAATAGACAAAATTCTCTCCATATTGTTATAGTGTTTTTAAGTTTTAAAAGTAGAACTAGTGAATACTTACTTTATAGTGGGTATACCCTATCTTAAACACTTGCCCAAGTATTTCAAGTGTTTCTCAATTCCATATGGGATAAAAATGGACCAGTTAGGAGAAATAAATTGTTGTTGCCTTTAAACAATATTTTTTGTTGCCTGTCAGTTTTTTCGTTTGTTTTTTGCCAACCATTGTTCCTTTAGGGGAACTTACAGACAAATGACTTTATTTTCAAAGTATTTGTAATTGTTAATTGTGAAATATGTTGAGATATAAGAGATTTTTCATAAATGGGTGTATACAGAGTTTACAAGCTTTACAACAGGCCTTGGCATTTTTCTTCATTCAGCCTTATTTGAATGACATTAATTTTGGCTGACATAAGATTCCTTTCAGAACTCATTGGTTAGTTTTGTTTAATGGTGTAATTGGTTTTGCTACGTGATGGCCAAATGTTAATCTCTGTTTATGTTAGCTTCCTAGTGGATAGACTTCATAAGGCTTCTTAAAATGCTGTAAGCAATGCCATCCATAATAACATCTGGAAGACTGATATTGAGGTAGACACAGATTCTTACAGCCATTAAAAGTAATTTTTCTCTGTTACCCTGCATGGCAGCTTTTCTGTGAAGGTAACAGAGAGATTCAGGCCTTGTGGGGGAGAGATTGGAGTGGGGGAGAGAGACCAATACTGGATCTTTCACGCCTGTTTATCAGCTATGCCATCATCTTAGCTTCCCTCATCTTCTCTGTAGAGATTCTCCCTGTAGCGGTAGTGCCAACCCAGGCTCTGATTTGCAGCATGTGAAGGCTTCTGTTCACGACTCCAGACTACTTCTCTTCACCAGTACTCTCAGATAACAGGCAAATCCACCCCCATCTCTGCCACCCAGCTCCAAGCATCAAATTCAGACAATATTTCAATCAGTTATATTTCAAAGGACATGAACTTGTATGAAGCTTCTGGAACACATATTTGTATGTATAAATGACATCTAGAAACAGCCCTTCAACTGTTGCCACCAAAGTAGACAACAGCATACTTAGATCATGGAGGAATCATACAAGATGTTCTTTCCCTCAAAGGAGTCAGTAGTCTAACAGGTACAACTGAATTATAGTCGAGAAGGAATTTTTTTCTACCTCCATCTACTGAAAATATATATTACAGGCAGCTCCATTCAGTTTTGGAGATGATTCTTCCTGGATGCTTTCCTTGAATTTCATGTCTGATGTACAGTTTCCTGCTCATACGCATGTTCCTACAGTATTCAGAAAGTTGAAAGGTATTCAGAAAGTTGAGACAAAGTTGAGACAGCAGTCTTCCTAACACTGAACCGTACTTGATGAAAATTGCCGTTTCTAGTACTGATGAGTTTTCCAGTTCTACTGGACCTGTTGTTGCACAACAATAGTTAGATCTGTTTAATAGATTCTATCCAACTAAGTTTCAGGCTACGTGCCTGCTTTTTATGAAGAAATGTCCACTCAAATACTTCATGTCTAGTTTAGTCTGAGCAAGGAAGCCTCCAATGATGTTGAAATACCCTACTTACTGAGATTTGTAGCTGGTACTTCAAAGCTCATCCCTACATTTGCCAATTGCTATGCATAGCACAGAAGTTCCTCAGGATTTAAGCAGGACTGCCATAGTTTGCCCAAAGTAGAGTATGAGTGGGCAGTCTCTTGAAGAAGAAAGAATAGTTACCTATTTTAGAGCCTTAGAGGTGGGGTTTTTTCTTTTTCTGTAAGGTGCATTGTCCATACACATTCCAAAATGAGCTCTCTATCCATCTTAGGATTTGCAGTCCTAACACAGAGTTTATTTTTCTCCAAAGAGTGAAGAAGCAGCTGAAGCTACCTTCCTTGCCATTTGCAGTAGTTGCAAGGACTCTTCAGTAGACATCACTCTGTAAAGATCGTCCTAGTTATACTTATGAGGGACAGGTGCATCATGACAGAAACGTGAATAGGCAGTGCATCTCAAAGAGAAGGCTGCCCCTTAAATTGAGTTTACCTATTTTAGAGCCTTAGAGGTGGGGTTTTTTCTTTTTCTGTAAGGTGCATTGTCCATACACATTCCAAAATGAGCTCTCTATCCATCTTAGGATTTGCAGTCCTAACACAGAGTTTATTTTTCTCCAAAGAGTGAAGAAGCAGCTGAAGCTACCTTCCTTGCCATTTGCAGTAGTTGCAAGGACTCTTCAGTAGACATCACTCTGTAAAGATCGTCCTAGTTATACTTATGAGGGACAGGTGCATCATGACAGAAACGTGAATAGGCAGTGCATCTCAAAGAGAAGGCTGCCCCTTTAAATTGAGTAATTCTTTCTTTCTTTCTTTTTATTGTTCATTGAAGCCAGTGTGCCAATGAAAAAAAGAAAACCTTGTCCTTACCCTGCTTTTTTGTATAAACATGAGATGATTTTTAAATATAAACTTTCTAGCTAAAATTCTAATTCAGAGCTGTCAGCCAGGACTGTCAAGTTCAAGATTGTGACCCATTACTTATCTTGTTAAAAGGGACAACAGCTCAGATTGTCCTTTTGGAAATAGACAGTGCCACCAGTTTGTGGTGGTAAGATCAGTTATACTGTTCGACATTAGGAGCTGATTAAAGAGGAACAAGTCCTTCTCTTTCAGAAATTGCATCTACATCTGTGGTGGCGGCAGATGTTGCAATCTTTTTCCAACGTAATTTATTAGAATCAAGTTTTCAGTTTATTTATTTTTCTCTAATGTTTTTACTGCTTTTTGGTTTTAACCTAGAAGTACAAAGTAGTATTTATTGTTTATTGTTTGAAGTTAGAATGCAGTTCT